TTCTGTTTTTTTTTTCTGATACTCCATTTGCTGTGAGAGTAGGGGGCTGTTAGCTGTCGTTTTTATGCGTTCTTTAATACAGAAATCTTGAACTCCGTTGAAGTGAACTCCAAACCATTATCTGACCTCAAACACTTCAGTTTCATTCCACTTTCTGCTTCTGTTTCAGCTTTGAACCCCTTGAACTTTTGCAGAGCTTCATTCTTTGTTTTTAGAAAGTAGATCCATGTCATTCTGGAGTGATCGTCAATAAACAGGATGAAGTACCTGTTGTCGCTTAGTGACTCTGTGCTCATAGGACCACAGATGTCTGTGTGGATCAATTCAAGCTTGGTATTTGCTCTCCAGGAAGACTTTAAAGGGAAGGGTTGTCTGTGCATCTTCCCAAGTTGGCAGATTTGGCAAATCCAGTTTTCTCCTATGATTTCAGGGAGATCTGGACTCAATTTTAATGAGTTCATCTTCTTGAGGGCTTCAAAATGCACATGTCCAAATCTTTGATGCCATAGAATGGTGTCGTTTTGAGCAGCTCACCTTAGTTTTTCTTCAGCTCCTTACAGCTTTAAGATGAAGCTTTTGTTGATCATTAGAATGTTTGCAATTTTATACCCACGTGAGTCTTTTATGGAGCATGAATTTTCCTTGAAGACCACGGTGTATCCTCTTCTGATTATTTGGCTCACAATTAACAAATTTTGCCTCATGCCAAACACATGCAGGACATCAGGTATGACCCTTTTTCCTTGGTTCGTGGTTAATGCGATGCTTCCTTTTCCTTTTGCTCTTAATGTCTTTCCATCACCTAGAGTTATGTTGAGTTTTGTCTCCTTGTTAAGATCATAAAATATTCTTTCGTTTTTGCACATGTGGCTGGTACAACCACTGTCAATTATCCAATGGGTGTCAGCTTCCTCTAGTTGCTCACTAAGTGTCATAAACATCCACTCTTCTTCTTCAGTTTCTTTGGTATAATTTACTTCTTGTTGAGACTGATTTTGAGAAGAAGAAGCAGCTGTGTTCCCTTCATTTTTTCTTTTTTTTCTATCGGCACACCTTTTCGACGTGTCCGCCCTTCTTGTAGTAGTTACACTTGATCGGGTTCTTCCCTTTATACCAGTAGTCTTGTTCTAAGTGGTTATTGCGAGCACATATTCTGTAGTTTGGTAATCCCTTTTACTGTTTATTGTTGTGATTGTTTGAATTTTGTGTTGATCGTGTAACTTGATCATCTTGATTTCTTCTTCCTCATTTTCCTCTGCCTTGATTCTTGCTTCTGTTTTGTGTAGCTACTAGTGCTCATTAGGTGGAGTTTGCTTCTCTCAAGGCTGTCCTCTGCTCCAATGTTTGTAGCTTGCCCAATAGTTCTGCAACTGAGAGAGTTTTGAGATTGTATGTTTCTTCTATCGCTGAGATTTTGGCCTCAAATCTGGCAGGGAGGCTCACCAACATTTTTTCGACTACTCTTCTCTCTTCGAAATCTTCTTCGAGCAATCTGATCTTGTTTACTGTATCAAGTAGTTTTGAGGCATACTCCTTTACGGTTTCTGCCTCTGCCATTTTCAGTGTTTCAAATTGCTTTCTCATATTCAGAACTTTCACCATCTTGATTCTTTCATCACCTTCAAACTCCTCCTTCAACTTGTCCCATACTTGCTTTGGGTTTCTCAAGTTCATTATTCTGGAGAAGACTGAATCTGATATTGCCGCATGCAAACAAGATAGAGCCCGAGGTTTCTTAAAGACATCTTCTTCATACCTCTTTAGTTGGTTTATTGTTGCATCATCTTTCAATGATGCTAGTTCTGCATCGTCTTCCACGACCTTCTATAGGCTATGGGTTCGCAAGTACATCTCCATCTTTATTGCCCATATGTGATAATTTTTTCCCGTAAATAGAGGAGGATTTAGTGTCAGTCGAGTTTGTTGTCATTCTGTATTTTTTTTTGTCGATTTCTTCTCACATATCCCTTAAGATCATACAGCTCTGATACCACTTGTAGATTTTGAATAAAAAACGATCACAATTTTTACTGTAATTTTAGAGAGTTTAGAGAGAGAGAGAGGGCAAGAAAACAGAGTGTGCGTATGCGGAGTCCTCTGTTTTCTTGTTTCTCTTAAACTCTAGAAATTTTTGAGAGGAAAAAACTTAAGTTTATTGATTGATTTGAAGTAGTATTTATACATAGAATTAAATTAGACTCCTATTCCAAAAACATAATTCGAATTCTAAAAAAAAAAACTTTAAACACAGAATTTAAAACAATCTTAAACTCCATACATGTCGGTGTTCTATACGCATTCTGCTACCTCTCTGTTCGAAGCTTTATTTTAAAAAAATTTCTATTTTAAATGAAATCCTTACATCGAACAAGATGTCTTAAAATTGTAAACTGTTTTGAAATAATTCCACTTTCGGTGCCAATGGAGTTATACATTTGTTTTTATGCATATTATATTCTACATGTTTGTGTATGTATACCGTGTGGGTACACCTTTTCTACGTATATAAATATGGATAATGATATACGCATGTAGAATGTATCTATACTCGATGTTATAATATATGTGTGTGTAGTCTATATGTATGATAATATATTTTTAATAGTTTGGTTGAGTAAGGAATAGGGAAAGAACAATGAAAGAATAATTGAGTAAAAGGTAGAACGATGGATTTTTGAAAATGATTGGAAGAATAGAGTAATGTAATTAAATTAACCAAATAATATAGTAAGAAAATACGACTTGAAATTAGGTACAATAATTAAGGATTTAAAAATAAATGATTCATGAATAATTGTAAGAAAACAATGAACTATTAGAGATACTAATAGATGAGCCCATAAGAAATTATATAGTAGGAAATAAGAAAGAGAAATCAAGAGTAAAATGCATAAAGAATGAAGGATTTCTTTAAAAGACGATGAAATTTAAAAGTCGAATAAAACTCTTAATCTCAAATAAAAAAGGAAAGTGACTGATTTGATGTTATATATTTTATCTGAATATAAATTTGATATGTTATGATGATATCTGTGAATGAAAATGACATTATCTGAATATGAATCTAATACGATATGAAAATATTTGTGAATGAGAATGAAGGTATTTGTAAATGAGAATGAAATTATCTGAATAAGAAGTTGATATATTATGATGGTATTTGTGAATGAGAATAAAATTGTCTTAATATGAATTTGATATAATCTGATGGTATTGTGAATAAGGATGAAGTTATCTGGAAATGAACCTAATATGATTTGATAGTAGTTGTGAATAAAGAATTAAGAGTAAAGTTGAACGGTCCTTGAAACAACAAGGAAATTAGTTTAGCGAAGCAAGCAGGCAAACTCTACTGTGGGATACAGTCTTATCTAATCACAGTTTTGGTTATCAGTGCTCATATAGGTTGGGGTATGAGATGCTGGTAACTGTGGCGCTCGTGAGTTAGGGTATGGGGATGGTCGATCTTATGACGTTCATACGGATTAGGGTATGAGGATGGTCAATTATTGTGGCCCTTCATACGAGTTGGGGTATGAGGATGCCGATGATTATGGTGCTCATACGGGTTATGGTATGAGGACAGTCGATTGTTTTTATGGAAATGTTGAGTATCCACATGTAGAGGGGATGCTTGTGAGTCCTCGATAATACAAATCAATGGTACCGCGAGATGAAATGTAAAGAGTAAATAAAATTTTAATTCAAATATAAGATGGTACATGATTAATGATTTCATTTGATTGAAATGTATGACTTTTGAAATATTAATATGCTTTGATGACTATTATTATTGAGAACGAAACATTTTATTTAATAGGTATAGAGACAAATGAAAGAGTTTCTAAATTAATAATATATTTGATGAGTCGTTACTATTTTTGGTTTTTGTATCTTTACTGAGCAAGTGTGTATTCACTCAAATTACCATTTTAATTTTTCAGATCAAGATAAACTATCAAGAGGTATCAGCCTATTAGAGAAGAATAAGTGAGCCAAGTTTGAATAACTGCAAAGATGTAAAGCCAAAGTACTTTAATTTTATTAATAAACCTATTAAATTCTAGTAATAGAAGCTTATGTGCACTACCTCATATAATGGTACTCGATTACAATTTACATATACAAAGGATGTGTGATATAATGCTCCATTATATTGTTGCACATTAGTGGTTCCTACACGTGTAATAGCGTCAATTCTCATCAAAGAAGTCAAGTCATTACAGTTGGTATTAAAATCGTGTTTCTCGGACCCATCCCTTATATTATGAGGCTTACGGTTCTCATAAAGTTTACAATAAAAAGAAATTATGTGATATATACCTTAGGAGATGTTTTAGGACTTTCTACGAAGCATCTGTGAGTATAAGAAACTAAAATTGTAATTCTGAAAGTCTGGAGATATAGGAATTACATGGATTGGAATGTGATAAATTTGGGAATTAAAGAATTAGGGCTTCACTCTAAAGCCAACTAAAGATGGCGAATAAGCAACAACTATAATCGATCATAACACGTGAAACCATAGGAAGCTCAAATACTATCAAAGAAATCACCTAATATGAGCAAATGAATAATGTGAATTTTAGAAAGACAATGAATTTCCCCCGAGTTTGGGAAAGAAATCTTAAAGAGTGAACCCAAAGTGAGAGAAAAATCTCCCAATTAGTAGGAAAATTCCCCAATTGGGAAAAAAATTCCGAGTAAGAGAATTTTTAAAAAAGAAAAAAAATTTCCTAAATAAGAGAAAAACCCTCAAGTGAAAGAAAATTTTACAAAGTGAAGGAAAGTAGATAAGTTTCTAAGGAACTTCTTCTAAATCCAGTAAAGACCAAGAAAGATTGGAAATCCTAAAATAAGTAGACCTAAGACCAAGCATGTTGGGTGACCAAATGTGACCAAATAATTATCAAGACTTTGGTTTTTAGGAATCCCTTATGAATATCCTCTAGGAAGAAGGGCTGCCCTACCCATTCAAATTCTTATCAAGGTTTTGCATAGAAGTTACTATAATGATGCAATATACCTAGATAAACCCTCAAAGCTAACACTGTTAGAGTGATGCAGTGGAAGAGTGGTATGAACCCATGAACCACCACACATAAAAGCTTTCTCTTTAAATGGGGAAAGAGAAATTGTGATGGGATAAACATGAGATACATGTCATAAGACTCCACTTATGAATGATCACACAAAAATTATAAAAGCAAAAAAAAAAGGTTTAATACCTAGCCTTAGAAGAATTTAAAACCAAGTTACACATTACTACCAAGACTATTAAATGGCCCTTCCATCTAAAGAACTTCCAATGATTCTCGGTACTAACTATGGATGTCACAGCTCACCACGTATAGTCTACCAAACCTTGGAAACAAAAGCAAATCAAGTGTTGAGATATATTATGAGGCATCTACCCTACAATGGATTTAGAGAAACAATACGATTTGGCAAAAGGATAATCCACATAGATATCAAGTCATCGAATATGAAGGAGAAAAGATTTTTAAAAACCTAATATTGTATAAAATTTATAAATAATATTTGGAAGTCAAAAATTACCACACTTGTTAAATCTTAATACTCACCTACCCGGAAAGAATTAAAACATGAAATGAAATGCTAAGGTTAAACCCTCGTGCCGGTAAAGACAATACATATGTTGATGTATTTAGAGAGTTTAGAGAGAACTTATTCTATGTAATCATGTACTAATTTTTGAAAATTAGAAAGTAAATAAAATAATTTGGACATATGAATCTCAAGAGACCCTAAATCTATCATGATATGGAGGATACTTAGGAAATCGACAAACCCTTCTTTCTTTTTGTGGAATTAACCATTCCTCTTTTTTTTAGAAACGAATGCAATTTTTTTTATGTTCAATAAAATAAGGAAACAAATATGTCATGATTGCAGGAGTTTATACATCGCATATAGGCTTTATCACAACATAACCAGAAGTGATGCAGGACCTAAAAGATCGAATGGAACGATACATAGACTAGTAAATCCTGTATGAATTTTATATTTCATTTGTCGTATAATTGAATAAAGAAGTCAGAAAATCTAAATTGAAATAAAAGAAGAAAAAAAAAAAGAGGTATAGCAAGGAAGACGAATTGCACAGTCAGGCATTGTGGCGGCATTGATGCGGTGTTGTGCCATTTTTTATCTGTAGAAGCGGCAATTTGTTCCCGATGTGACCAGATTTAAAAAGGAGACGAATGAGGCTTGATTGGCACGCAACATGAGGAGAAGTAAAGCTCGGATCTAAATATACACAGTTGTTAGTGCACGGCGCAGCCAAAAAACACCGTCTCTGCATGCTGTGGAAGTAGAAGATCAGCGTCGCAGCAAATCGGTTTTATCCAGTGAGATGAGAGGTAGCATGCATGATAGCAGCACAATCTATTCTGGATCTCCAAACGAGATAGGAGGCGAGGCAAATCTGAATATGTATGGCATCGTCCAGGGTGGTCTTAACGGCGTGTGCGGCGGCTTGTGTAGGCACAGGCAGTAGCACATGCCTCAACGCATGATAGTGCATGGTGATTCTGGTTACTCACGAGTGGCGGCGCGCATGGTGGCGCATAGTGCCTCTAGCAACCAGGACTGCATGTCAAAGATAAAATTACCTCCTTTTGTGTTGTGTTTATTTCTAAAATTACTATCTAATACACATATTCTTTGTTTGTAAACAAGAAAACTAATCAAATGGTAGCCACATTTAAACAAGACCACAAACTGAATCTAGTGAGGATCCCGACACATTTTCTAGTCAAACTCTGGGTAAGTATACTTTAATCTTTCTCTTTAATTAGGCTTAATCCTAAAATATTTGAAAATTGTAAATTGTTTTAAAATAATTCCACTTCCACTTTTGGTGCTGATGGAGTTATACATGTATTTTTATACATATTATAAATATTTATTTGCTTCTACATGTTTGTGTACGTATACCATGTGCATGTGCCTTTTTTTATGTATATAAATTATGGATAATTATGTAAGTATGTAGGGTGTATCTTTACTCAATGTTATAGTATATGTGTGTAGTCTATATGTATGATAATGTATTTTTAATAGCATGATTGAGTAAGGAATGGGGAAAGAACAATGAAAGGATATTTGAGTAAAAGGTAGAGTGATGTATTTTTTAGAATGATTGGAAGAATAGGGTAATATAATTAAATCATATTGCATAAACTTTCACTAGGGCACTCTCAAGCACTCTTCTTAATCAACTCATAGCCAAGAGGGGAACAAAAGATATCTACTCTTTATCTTGAAGGGGGTTTTAAAGCATATGGGTTACCAAGCCCACATGTGAAAATAAATGGATCGTAGTAACCTGTTCATGCCACTTGTTTTCTTTTTCTTTAAGTTTGTGTACATATATATGTGTATGTATATTAGGTTAAAAATGATAATTAATATATTGTATAAGAGATGCACATCTACCTCATTTATTGGAGATATGAATACCTTTGTTTCTCTCATTCGAAACAATCTAGAATGCAAAAACGCAAAAATTCTGATAAGAGTTTTCTCCCAAAGTCATCATCTCTTTTTTCATTCTCTCTTGATCTCCATCAATTTTCTTGCATCTATTCTTCATTTTTCTTGCAGATAAAAGTAGACCAGGTTACAACGAGTTCACAACATATTCTTTCAGGATCACTACGTAAATATCAAGTCACTATTCAACACTAAATGTGTCTTAAACTAACTTGGATAAGATACCTCTTGAATGCTTTAAGGATTAACCACCCATAAGCAACAGTTATACATTGTGACAACAAGACTGCAACCTACAAGCAACCCGACTCAATATTTCATGAAAGAACTAAGCATATTAAATATCTGCTCTTTGTCCTGAGAAGGGATGTCAAAGTGTTTGGGTTACCTAGGCTCACATGTGAAAATAAATGGACTACAGCACCCCCATTTAGGGCACGTGTTTTCTTTTTCTTTAATCATGTGTACATATGTGTATTAGGTTGAAACGGAGAATTAATTATACAATACATGAGATGCACATCCACCTCATTTATTGGAGGTATAAATACCTCTCTTTCTCTCATTCGAACAATTTGAAATGCAAAAACACAGAAATCCAATTATAATTTCTCTTGAAATCATCATCTCTTATTTTGTTCTCTCTCGATCTCCATCGATTTTCTTGAATCTGTCTTCACTTTTCTTCGTAGATCAAAGTAGATTAGGTATTACACCGGGTTCACAGCATATTGTTTCGGGATTACTATGTAATAGTAAGTTACTGTTCAACACAAAACATATACTTAGAAATATTAAAATATTATCGCGGAAATATAATTCCTCTTAGATGTCATAGAAGTTTCCTGCATTGCATTCATTGGATGAAATGTCTAAAAAAAATAGTCTCAATATCTTCTGTTTCGTTGGGGCACACAATTTATTCAAGACTTTTATTAACAAATTCAACTTAGATGATACATGTAAGCCAAAAAGGGGCTAACAAATTATAGTCAACTAATTCAAACTTTTCTGAAGAAACCCTAGTATACCACATCAAACAGCCCACCCAACCCTGAAAACCAACTTTGCAGAAGAAACCCAGTATACTAAATCAAACAGCCCAGCCAAACCTGAAAACCGAAAACCTTAAAACCCTATGCAATGAGGAATGGTAGAACAGTGAGCATGAAAGCTTCATAAGTGAAAGTTGCTGAACCAGAGTAAGAGGTGTCCCGTTCCTTGAATTTCTCTGTTAGTCCCTGCAACATGTAAAAACTTAAAGTCAATTAACATGCAACAAGTATATTACAGGGAATTTCAGTGTCTGATAACTGAGTGATTTAGTTGAAGAATAATTCAATTATATTAATTTGGTAAACAATTCAGGATTTAGTGCCCATACCAGATCAAGAAGAAACTAAATTTTGAAATATTCAAAGCAAGTGATGACACGGAATTAGAATATATTCAAGGTTGAAAAGTCCAAATGGCGTAAAAAATGGACCACCAACTTGAAATAAATGGAAATTGAGGAAAGTCAAAACCAAAACCAAGGAATGCACTCCACCTCACCAAAAAGCCAGGAAACTTTCAAGATTGACAACAGTTGACTTAAGTTGAAGAAAATAACTTTACCATATTTCCCCTTCTCTTTGCAGCATCTATTCAAATACAACTAAGCATTTGAATGGATGAATCTTATCAATTTGTATAGTTGGCTCATGAATCATTCTCCATCCACCCATTTATTAAAGGTATTCTTACTTTGTTCCAACTAACATATACTTTTTTAATCAACACGATAAGTTCTAAATTTATACAATGGCAGATGAGAAAGAGTAAAAGCAAAAATAAAAGTTAGCTTACCTTAACAGTAAGACAGCACCTGCATCATGAAAAAGAAATTTTAAATAGGGTTAAAAATCTTTCAAGATTATAAAAACTGAGACAGGTAAGCTCATTAGGAAAAAAAAAAAAAAAAAAAAAGAAGGGAAAACAGGTTAAACATACTCAATGAAGTTATCATATTCAATAGCCTTGGTTTTGGCGACTCCGGAGTTTCCAAACTTAGAAACGTTATCATAATCAGTAGCCTTAGTTTTGGTGACTCCAGAGTTTCCAAACTTAGAAACGAGTAAATCAAGCACTACTGGTGAAACTGAAAATCCAAGGCTCAACAGTGCCTCCCGTAACTCATTTGCATCTATCTTGCCACTACGGTCCCTATCGAATTTCTCAAATATGGCCTGAAATTTGGAAAACCAAACAGCAAATCGCATACAATCAAAATTGCATAAGATTAATTACCAGAACACACTTCATTCCACAAAACAGAAATCCTAGATATCTGGGTGTGTGGGTATATTCATTTATGTATATATTTTACATTTTTTATAATATAAAAAAAAAAATAGCCCACATACTCTCCAATTCTGAAGGCTGTAAAACACTTGAATAAACTCCTTGGGTCCTGCATTAACAACAATTCATGAATAGAAAAGGATTAGTTAAAAGTAAAATGTGCCGTGTCCAAAATGAAATAATCATGCAAGTTTGGGGGTATTTCTGTCATTAAATGCTTGACAAGTTTGAAAATATAGTAATTAATGAGATAATAATTGACACTGATTTTTTCCAAACTAAAAGCTACCGAATGGAAACCGTCAATCTAGGCGCAATTTAGTCACCTACGCACGCCTAAACGACCGGCCTGTTAACATGCGCACCTACACTTGTAGACAGAGAAATAAAGAGAGAGAGGGAGAGAGAGAGAGATGAAACTGAGAAACTCACCGATCTTTCTAGTGTTAGTATTGGTGAAGAGATACATGAGGAGACCAACAGTCCTCATGCTGAAGGTCTGATTGTACGAAGACAGCGCTCTCTGCAACTCCTTATCGTCGATGAACCCGCTGCTGTCCTGATCAGCCATCTGGAAACAAGCCACGATGCTAGGGTCCGTGCCGGGAGGGAAGGCCGACGGTAACAGAGCCGCGAACGGGCTACCGTACGGGAATCCCGCCGGCCGGG